CCCGGCTTTAGGCACTTGGTTTTTGTTTTGTTTTGTTTTGTTTTGTTTTTAAATCTTGGCCATAGAGTGGCTTCTGGAAAACTTTCTCCATGCAATTGCACTGGGTGAATAAAGTTCTTGCCACCACTCACAGAGCAAAATCAAGGCAGGTCCTCTCCAAGAACTGAATCTCTGCTTAGAATTAAGTTTCTATTGTGGGAAAAAAAAATCCCTTTGATAGAAAAAGGTTCCATTGTACAGCATTTATGTTTGCATTGCTGAGAGGATGCTTGGCACGAAGACACAAGGGGCCAGACACTTCACTAGAGTAAGCCAGTGTAGCTCAATTGATTTTTGATGGACTTAGGTTGACTCACACCAGCTGAGATCTAGTCTAGTCTAGAGGGTGTCAGGAGAACATACACACAAATATCCTACTTTTTGCCATATTTCTTTGTCCTCTGTCATTTCAATAGATTCATATAGTTTCCTTGACAGATTCATGTAACCCCCATCATGCTACTAATAAAACCCACCTATCAACTGGACAATCAACCTCATGGCCCTAAAACAGTTCCATTTTCTTCAGCTACAGCTTGTGGGAAGCCAGAGTTCTCTATATGCAGTGTTTGGCACTCATTTTTCTTGGAGATATGTTATTCTCCTGACTGAAAAATCCACATCAAACTGTTGCATTTACATACATTATGCCTTCTCCTCTTGAGCTTTTCCTTATCCATTAAAGCTGTTTATGGTCTACAGCGTTCTTGTTTGTGTCCTAGAGACCAGACAACATTGATTTATTGGCAACATTTCCAGCAGGGGGAAGAGGTAAACCACACAAAAGTCTTCATGCGCTACACCTATATAATGAGTGTAACATGACAGTTAGAGCAGGAACATGCAAACCACAGAAAAATAGATTCCCCTGGCTCGGAAGTTATTATCTGTTTAGAGTTGAGAATTTCCTTGGCTTCCTGTCCTACACTGTCGGACTAATAATAGGTGATGATGGTACTAGATTTACATTGCATCTTACTACATGCACCATCTAATATTGCAGATCCACAGGGGAATCCTGAGGGTTGGCAGGAGAGAATATGATTCTGCCTGTGCTGGGTCTATGATGGGGAAACTCTGAAGGAAGGATACTATTTATTAATTATTAACATGATTACTAATTACGGTAGCACCCAGAGGTGCCAGTCAGCTTGGGGACCCATTGTGCTGGATGTTGTACAAGTGGATAGTAAGGAACAGCCCCTGCCTCAAGTTAAGATGAGACACAGTAAGTGGTACTAGCGAGCAGCTGAAGGAAGGATAAGAATAACGGTGAGAGGAACAGACGGTTGCCTTGACTAGTTGCATACACAAGTTGCAGGTGAGTGCCACTGAGACAGTCACCCAGGTGAGTGTCTTCAGGTGCACATATTTTCTGAGGTGACCATCCTGAAGTATAATGGACATGTGACAAAGAATGTTATACTGGCTGCCAGCTAGGTACCAAGGAAACACATGGGATGTACATAGTAGTTTGGAAGGAGGCCTTGCTTGGAATGGATATAAAGTCCCAGGGAACAACTGGCCGATCAGGCTGTGGGTTAGAATGCTGAGGCTACAACGGGACATGGAAGCATTTCCATGTCTCAAGGCAGAGAGAGTGGCAAAAGGAACCCTAGTTTGATGACCCCTAATGGGTGTCGTTTGCAATATGCCAACATTTTCCTGTTGATAAGTCAGCATTGGCTCTTTTTGTCATTTTGTTTGTAGTTATCGTCTCATGCTTGGCTCCTTTTATATATTTGTGTATTTTATACAGCTCGTTATTAAGTATAAATATATTTGATCTTTTTATCGGTTTCTCCCCTACCTTCTGGAGGCTGTTTTGTTTAAAAATAACCATAGCAATAAATGAAAATGGGGTGTAGAATCTAGAACAATGGTGCCCTACATTTTCTTGGTACCCTGCTCCCCCAGGAACGCACTGCTATTTAGTCAGGATCTGGCCTGGACTCCTCCTCCGATGTAGCAAAACGAGAAGGGCAGTGAATCACATACAGAGAATTCTACCCAGTATTCACCCAGGATGGGAGACAACACTAGGCTCAGGAAAATGAGGACACTTAGAATAAGAGGAATTTTGTGGCCTTTATTGAAAAAATCCATCACATTGTGTTGCACAACCCACTAGTTTAGGGACCAGGGCAGAGGTGAAAGTAAGATGGTACAGTACAGTACAGCGTACCGGCAAGAGCCGGTACACAGCCAACCATACTGGCAGGAGGAAGCTTCCCCAAGCTGACAATTTAAAAGGGCCCTGGGCTCCTAGCAGCAGCCAGAGCCCCTGGCCCTTTAAATTGCCACCAGAGCCCCCTGACAGAGCCCTGGGGTAGTGGCAGCAATTTAAAGGGCCCGGGGCTCCGGCTGTGGTAGCAGTGGTGGGAGCTCTGGGCCCTTTAAATCACCGCCAGAGCCCTGGGGCTCCCGGCCGCCACTGCTACCCCAGAGCTCCGGCAGCGGGGCTCTGGTGGCGATTTAAAGGGCCAGGGGCTCCAGCTGCTGCCGGGAGCCCAGGGCCCTTTTAAATTGCTGGCCTGGGAAAGCTGCCCCCCGGGCTGGCGGTGGCGGCCAGGAGCCCCGGAGCTGCAGTAGCGATTTAAAGGGCCTGGGGCTCCCGGCTGCTGCTACTGCAGCCAGAGCCCCGGGGCCTTTAAACCGCTACTGGAGCGCCAGGGTAGCAGCGGCAGCCGAGAGCCCTCAGGCAATTGAAAGGGCCTGGGGATTTAAAGGCCCCACCTCTTCCGCCCAAGGCCCTGCCCCACACCTTGCTCAGAACCCCGGCCCTGCGTACCAGTTAGTCCCCTAAGTTACTTTCACCCCTGGACCAGGGGTAACTTAATTATCACTGGGTGTGCTCCCCAGCTGTGGGCAAGTTTCACGCAGTAGATATGTGGCGAATATCGTCTTGGTGAGCGTGTGTGCTAAGGTGGGCAAGTGGGCAGAGGTGACTATTAAAGCTGGTCAACATTTTTTGTGCAGAGTGTTTTCCCGCCAAAAATATCGTGTTTCATCAAAACTGAAAACTTTTCAAGGGAAAAAAAAATCCATTCTGATGAAAGAGCTTGGTTTTTCCCGCAACAAATTGTGAAACACAGACTTTCCATTTGAATAAACATTTCTCAGTGAAATAAAACATTTTTATTTTGTGGTGATGTAAAATGTTATTTCCTTTTGTTTTCATCCAGTTTAAATAAAAATAAAAGCCAACAACAAAATAATCAAAATGCTGACACAAAACAAAGATGTGCCTTTCACCTCTCCAACGCATCATCAGTGATCTACAACCCATCCTGGACAATGATCCCTCTCTTTCACAGACCTTGGGAAGCAGGCCAGTCCTCGCCAAAAGACAACCTGCCAACCTTAAGCATATTCTCACCAGCAACCACACACCGCACCATTACAACTCTAACTCAGGAACCAATCCATGCAACAAACCTCGATTCCAACTCTGCCCACATATCTACACCAACACCACCATCACAGGACCTAACCAGATCAGCTACAACATCACCAGTTCATTCACCTGCATGTCCACCAATGTTATATATGCCATCATGTGCCAGCAATGCCCCTCTGCTATGTACATTGGCCAAACCGGACAGTCACTACGTAAAAGGATAAATGGACACAAATCAGATACCAGGAATGGCAATATACAAAAACCTGTAGGAGAACACTTCAACCTCCCTGGCCACACAATAGCAGATGTAAAGGTAGCCATCTTACAGCAAAAAACTTCAGGACCAGACTCCAAAGAGAAACTACTGAGCTTCAGTTCATTTGCAAATTTGACACCATCAGATCAGGATTAAACAAAGACTGTGAATGGCTAGCCAACTACAGAAGCAGTTTCTCCTCCCTTGGTGTTCACACTTCAACTGCTAGCAGAGGACCTTACCCTCTCTGATTGAACTAACCTCCTTATCTCCAGACTGATTCTTGCCAGCATATTTATACCTGCCCCTGGAAATTTCCATTACATGCATCCGATGAAGTGGGCATTCACCCACAAAAGCTTATGCTCCAATACATCTGTTAGTCTTAAAGGTGCCACAGGACTCTCTGTTGCTTTTTTCATTTCTTTGTAATCTTTCATGTGTTTCTCAAGAACAAAACAAAATGCACTGTATTTCCAGATGTCAATTTAAAACAAAAATGTTATATCTCCAAATTCCCCATTGGCGGGGAGGGGAGGGGTAAATTGTGCATTCAAAATTTCTCGCAGGAAAAATTAAGGTTTTCGGACCAACTCCAATGAATATTATCAGTAAGTGTTTCCCCCGGAAGAGCTGGGTGTGTTCCTCCTCCTGCCATGGTGGGCATCTCCCTGAGCATCCTTGTGGGCTCCCGCTGGCCTGGGCGGGAGGGTTTTGTGCCTCCCCTGGGATGGGCATGCCTTAAGCTTCACCATCCCCTGGATTGAGCCCCTCTGTGCAGGGCCGGCTCCAGGCACCAGCTTCTCAAGCAGGTGCTTGGGGCGGCCGCTCCGGAGAGGGGCGGCAGGTCCAAGTATTCGGGGGCAATTCGGCGGAGGGTCCCTCACTTCGCCTGGGAGCGAAGGACCTCCCGCCGAATTGCTGCCGCAGATCGCGATCGTGGCTTTTTTTTTTGGCGGCCAAAACCCTGGAGCCGGCCCTGCCTCTGTGGAGCAGGCATCTCCCTAGGCTTTCCCTTCCCCGGGCTGTGCCCTGCCTGGGACGAGGCAACCTGCCCCTCTCCATGCACATCTCTTTACGCTTCTATGCCCTCCACCTGGGAGGCATCTGGGCTCCTTCTCCGGAGCAGCACTAGGGCTTCTGGCTGGGCTGCAAGGACACCTCTCCCCGGGGTGCCACCTGGGGTCCCGCGGGCTGTCCCAGCCCAACACCCCGCTCCCTCCCCGGCACGGGGCGGTCTGTGGGCGGCCCCGGCGCGGAGTGACTGGCGCTGGGCGGCACCCGGGCTGGGGGCGGATTTTTTGAGCCGAGCCCCGGCGCTCCTCTCTAGAGCGGCGGCTGGCGGCAGCGGCGGCGGGCGGGTCTCTCTCCCTCTCCGGCCGGGCGAGGCGGCGGCGCCCCCCCGCTGCCCTGCCCCGCTCTGCTGTATGGACGAGCACCGGAGCCTGCTGCGCTCGCCGGCCGCCTCCTCCTCCAGCAGGCATCCGCGGGGCGGCGGCAGCAGTAGCAGCCACCACAACCCGGGCTACACGGAGCCGCCGCCCCCCGAGCCTCCCCAGCCCGGCCCCGAGCAGGAGGAGGGGGAGGAAGCAGAGGAAGAGGAGGGCGGCATGACCGTGGTGGGTGGGGGGGACCCCCTGCTGGAGGAGCCCCAGCACCCCCACCCGCTGCTGGCAGGGGAACGCTACGACCACCCACCGGCCCACGTCCCACTGCCCCCCGGCCACCACCCGGTGGGTGGCGGGGAGCACGAGTGCTGCGAGCGAGTGGTGATCAACATCTCGGGCCTGCGCTTCGAGACCCAGCTCAAGACCCTGGCCCAGTTCCCCCAGACCCTGCTGGGCGACCCCCGCAAGCGGATGCGCTACTTCGACCCCCTGCGCAACGAGTACTTTTTTGACCGCAACCGGCCCAGCTTCGACGCCATCCTCTATTACTACCAGTCTGGGGGCCGCATCCGGCGCCCGGTCAATGTGCCCATCGACATCTTCTCGGAGGAGATCCGCTTCTATCAGCTGGGCGAGGAGGCTATGGAGAAGTTCCGGGAGGACGAGGGCTTCATCCGCGAGGAGCAGAGGCCCCTGCCCGACAAGGAGTTCCAGCGCCAGGTGTGGCTCCTCTTTGAATACCCGGAGAGCTCCGGGCCGGCCAGAGGCATCGCCATTGTCTCAGTCCTTGTCATCCTCATCTCTATCGTCATCTTCTGCCTGGAGACCCTGCCTGAGTTCAGGGACGATCGTGACTATGAGGGGACGGGGGGGACCTTTGGCACAAGCAGCGGCCCCTTGGCGATGGATGTCTTCACCAACTCCTCCTCCGCGGCTGTCTCAATGGTATCGTCCTTCACCGACCCCTTCTTCGTGGTGGAGACACTGTGCATCATCTGGTTCTCTTTTGAGTTGCTTGTCCGCTTCTTTGCCTGCCCCAGCAAGGCCACTTTCTCCAAGAACATCATGAACATCATCGATATTGTGGCCATCATCCCCTACTTCATCACCTTGGGCACGGAACTGGCTGAGAGGCAGGGGAACGGCCAGCAAGCCATGTCCCTGGCCATCCTCAGGGTCATTCGGCTGGTCAGGGTCTTTCGTATTTTCAAGCTCTCACGACACTCCAAAGGGCTGCAGATCCTGGGGCAGACCCTCAAGGCCAGCATGAGGGAGCTGGGCTTGCTTATCTTCTTCCTCTTCATTGGAGTCATCCTCTTCTCCAGCGCTGTCTACTTCGCAGAGGCAGATGACCCCACCTCAGGCTTCAGCAGCATCCCCGATGCCTTCTGGTGGGCGGTGGTGACCATGACCACGGTGGGCTATGGGGACATGCACCCAATCACTATTGGGGGCAAAATTGTGGGGTCCCTCTGTGCCATTGCTGGGGTGTTGACCATTGCCCTTCCCGTGCCTGTGATAGTCTCCAATTTCAACTACTTCTACCACCGGGAGACCGAAGGCGAGGAGCAAGCCCAATATCTGCACGTAGGGAGCTGCCAGCACCTCTCCTCTACGGAGGAGTTGAGGAAGGCACGTAGCAATTCCACCCTGAGCAAGTCGGAGTACATGGTGATAGAGGAGGGGGGCATCAACAACACTGCATTCAAACAGGCTGCCTTTAAGACGGGCAACTGCACAGCTACAAACAATCCCAATTGTGTGAACATCAAAAAGATCTTCACTGATGTTTAAAAAAAAAAAGCCTCTGAGGAAATGTTGAAATAATAATAATAATGCAAAGTGACCATGTAATCAGTATTGTCTGGAACATGCATCATCATTGGTCTGTGTGCGCCCTTGTCCAACACCTATATTTTTTAGATCATTCCTTTTAAAGAACAAGGAAGAGGATTACAAAATAATCAGAAGATAAGAGGATGGGGGTGTTTGCGGAAAGAAAGATCAGAGGACAAAAAAGAAGAACACGCTCCCCGTTGAAACAGGTGTTTTTTCTGCAACACGTTGCAGGGCTGCTTTGTGGGGTTTTTTTGTGGGCAGCCGGCCTCTTTTCTCGTTTTTGCAAAGAGTCGCTGTGTAGCCGGTTTCCCTTCCGATCACGCACACACGCACTTGTTGGACTGAAAACCGTGAGTTGGAAGGGAAGAAAATATTATATTGCAGAGCCTGTTGGCGGGCAAGGGGAGGGAATAACCATTTAATTTTGCAAAGCATCTCTGCTACCACATTGTTAAATGATGCTTAATACTGAACGTGTGGTATATGTCCTTTATAGGCACATCTTTGATTTCTTTTCTTCCCCAGCCAGATCATCTATGAAATTCTAATCTGTTCAGAGACCCAAGTGTAATCAGTTTTGATTTAATCAGAAAAATGCCCCCCTTCTCTATTCCTAATTCCCTTCTCCCACAACTGTATGGAATTGTTTCATCCAACCCAAAATTCCTGGCTGCACGGAGTGTATGGGGAAATGTTCTTCCCACATGGAAAGGTTTAACAATTGACTAACTGAATAGCATCCTGAACGTTTGAACATCCTATCATGCAAATGCAGATTGGGGATAGTTAAGCTCCCATTAAACCAGTAATGGGCTTTTTGAAGTGACTCCAGCCTCAGACAAAACCTACCAAGAGCCTAGAAACAAAGAGGGGGGGTATTTTTGTCCATTTCCAGTGCATCTGAGATAAGCGTCTGCATCTATCACAAGAAGATTAAAGTGACAAACGCCTTCCAGCGGAAGTTACTAATTCGGACCTGAGTGATGCAGTTTCCATAGCAACCCTGGTTTCCTGGGAAACCCCAAAAGGTTGTCATGGTATCCCTTCGCCCCATCCCCCTTCATCCTGTGCTGTTTCCACAGTAACCCTTCCAGATGGTTCCAACTTCTGTGATTCCACGGAAAAGCCGCTGCCCTGGTAAACTGCACACACACATACCGAGAGTTAATCCCAGAGAGATTTAGGAGTAGAAACTAGTTATTATCCTAGATGCATGGTTCTTTAGATCTGAAACATTCCTGAAGTCCTGGTACCTACCGAATCAAGAAGCAAGATGATCATCCCTGGAATGCTGCTGCGCACATGTGCTGAATAAAACACCTGTTCATAGGCAATAAATGCAACAAACCTCCAAATTCCCCTCGCTATCAAGTTAATATCTGGGCAGTAAAATTGAAAATTGATTCTCTATATGCAAATCTATACATCTGCTCAGAAGTTCTAGAAAGGCGATCTCATCCCTGACAGAATAAACCATACTTAAACTGATGGTACGTGACCTAGATTTTTCAAAAACCTCCCTCCAACTCCAAACAGCAATTCCACTTTCAAGCGTATATGGAACTGAACAACCAGACAGGAAACTTTATAACACAAAAGGATATCAATCTTTTGACATTGGGGTGTGTGGAGGGGGAGTAAGCAGAGGCCTATAAAGTACAGGGGTGCAAAGTAACCAAAACCCTGAGGGAAAATATGCCTGCCTCATCTCATCCAAGTCAGCAGCTGCGGAACATCAGGCAGAAACAGGTGAGTTATGCGCTGTGGAGAGAACAGATTATGCATTTTAAGACATTTGTGTTTTCAGATATAGACCTCATCTTTTTGTACCAACCACAGTATCCAGCCCTCCCTTTATGAACATGTATATGAGCTAAAGTGCAATAATCTTTTCCATAAGAGTCCCCTGACTTTTTTCCCTCCAGCTAACTGTATGGTCTTATTTAATTTTGATTTTTCATATCATTTGGTTTCAATAATATGTATTTAGTTTAAATAGCACTAAACATACTCATTCTGCAGCGAAGCATCAATACAGTTTGTGGCTTTGTTCACCAATATTATGCTAAAATTACAATTTTCACAATGGTTTAGTTCACTTGGTCTCAGATCCCTTTTAAAAAGAAAATCCAATGACAACCCATTCCTCCCTGTAAAGATGCAACCTTGGTGTCAGCAGTAAGGGCCTGATTAAGATGCACTTAAGTCCCATTGAAGGTAAGGGCTTTGCTGAATATGGATGGGTTTAAGCACATGCTTAAGTGTTTTGCTGAATTGGAGGAATTAGTCTTATTTACAGCAAAATAATGTAGAAAGGAATGGGACTGGGCAGGTTATTATAGGCAAATAATTATCTGATTTTAATTATAAGCTCAGAGTTTTCTTAAATTTATAATATGGTTTTATTCTTTATAAAATTCTTGGCTCTATTGAACTCAACAGAGTTTCACCATTGACTTCAGAGGAGCAAGGATTTCACTCATGATTTATATGTGATATTCTGTTCTGATCTTATTTAAATGTACCCCTTTGCCTCCATCTTCTTTTTAGCTCTCCCCTCTTTCAATTAATAAAACCTTTGAGAAAATTCATTAGGCCAGATCAGCTAGTGTAAATTGACATAAATTCACTAGAGCTCCATCAGTTTATAGCAGCTCAGAATCTGGTCAATTAATGATTATGCAATGGTCAGATATTATGGTGAGGGGAGCTATAGTTGTAGCTAGATAGATGTGAGTGCCCCTTTCTTGCCAGTTTTGTTTTAGGGGTGGGAGGATGATATACAGAAATTTGATCCTCCATATTTTTCTTTCCATACTTTCATGAACACTTTTGTCATTCGTCCAAGCACAAGTTGTTTGTCCATCAGTTGTCTATATAACTCCTTAACATGCCTTTTACATTTGTGTACCTGTACTTAAGTGTGATTTCAAAGACAGCAAATCCTCACTTTGATAAAACCATATGCAAATTTTCTCACAGAGGGAGAACATTCAGTGTTCCTCATTTTCTATTGAGGATATAAGACTTTTTTGGACGTGTTTTTGAAATGTTAATCACAATTAAAGATTTTATTCACCTGGATTACAGTGGGAAACAGTGGAAATACTGTCCGCTTGACTTCCACTCAGAGCACAATAGATTTCCTGATGAATTCTGTGTTTGAATTCTTCTAGTGTCAACATGTTTGGATATGTGGGGGAGACATCTTATAAGCCCAAATATGGCACTTTGGAATCATTTAAAAAAAAAAAAGCACACCTGTGTGCATATAATGTGCAGTGAGGTGTAACTAATAATTTTGGATTTGCACGACCACTTCTTACCACATTTAGGGAGGGGGGGCGGGAAGGTGACCAAATAATTGGAAAAAATTATGTTTTTGTCCAAAAAAGGTGATGTCCATAAGAGAGCTTGAAAAAAAAATCCAGTGAATAGGCTGCAATAAAAGAGCCCATTCCCCAAATATAGCATATGGTACAGCTGACAAAGCATGTCTGACAGCCACCAAAAATCGCTGCTGCTCTCTTCTTTACAAATGTAAACCGTGTAGACAAAATATTGAAAGCAGAGAGGTGGGAGGAGAATGGGGAAAAGTGGAAATTCCATCGCTGGCTTCCTGCTCTTGTCTCCACTTCATAGCAGTGAGTTTAGCTTGGTCAGTATCAGGTACCGTATCTCTGCACAGTTGTGCAGTCTGAAGGTTACGCTTTCATTAGCTTTTCCAGACGGAAAATCTCGAGACCTTTCCTGTAGAGATCGGGGAGACTGTTGCTCCCAGTGATGAAGGACTGTTCTCTCTGCAGCCTGCTAGCGCTCTGTAATGCATTTTATCTCCCATCTTGCCATGTGCCTAGTGGATCTCTCAGGACTCTGACAGTCATTTTTGAGATAAAGATCAGCACTTTGCAGCACGTCGGACTAGAATGTTTTTAACATGCTTAGAAGGGGCAGTGTTAGAAGATTAGTATTATCTCTTCTGCTGCAGGTAAATTGTCTAGCAGTTTATGGACAAACCTTCCCTAGCAGGGGTTGTCTAGTGTTATACACCATTATATTTAACGGAGGAAACATTAATAAAACTTCCCGGTTGACATTGTATGTGTACAGACGTCAAGCAGTTCAAAGCTAGGATTTCTGAAGCAGCTGTAACTTGGCTCATCGGTAGTACTTTTGATTGCTCTACATGATGTTAACTTGAGTGGCTATAAAATACATAAAGCAACAGAGGGTCCTGTGGCACCTTAAAGACTAACAGAAGTATTGGGAGCATCGATACTTTTGTTAGTATTGTTGCTCCCAATACTTCTGTTAGTCTTAAAGGTGCCACAGGACCCTCTGTTGCTTTTTACAGATTCAGACTAACACGGCTACCCCTCTGATACTATAAAATGCATGTGCCTAATGGCATGGTTACCATTGCGGTGGGACCCGTAACTGAATTTTCTGGCTTCTGTGCTTTCTTGCTGCATCCCTGTCTTTCACATCTCTCATCTGGCAGCAGGGGTGACATTCACTCCCTGCGTTGAAGGACAGAGAGGACAGAATAGAAATAGACCGTTCCCGCCTGTGCCTCCTTGCTATTTGTAACCCATTGTGGCGTGGTTGTCTGGGCTTTCACAGACCTGGTCTCCCAAATACTTTTTTTTTTTCTTTCTTCAAATTCAGAGTTCATGCAGGGCCACCACTTATCTTCAGGACATTAATGAGCCATTATAATTCTTGGCCTTCCCAAATTCTTTTGGTTTCATTGCACTTGTATGCTGCTTATTTCCTAGACCCCATAAAGAAGGGTGTGATCCAATGCACACTGAAGTCAACGGGAACTTTTCTGGTGACCTCCGTGTGCAGGTCCCATCACGGAGAGAATGTATCAATGATACAGAGGAATTTAGAAGTCCTTTCCACATGGTAAATTGTCCCTGGGCTGCATATCAGAGGGAGTCTGCTACCAAGATGGGGTGCAAGTGTGTGTGTGGGGGGACTGCAACCACTGATAAGGGCTCTTAAGGGAGCTTCACTTTACACCTTCCAGTTCTAGTGTAGACATGCCCTAAATTTCCTCTAGGATGGCATGCAATGGGTACCACAAACAGCAGATTCCAGCCTTCACAGCAAGGGCCTTTTTGATACCTGGTGGCCCTGGTGAATTCTTCTTACCAGGTATCCAGGATCCTTGCAGGAGGAGGAAAGGGGCTGAATCTAGCAAGGCTCCCATCTATTCTGATCAGGGACAAGTTGAGGTTTCAAGTAATTATCTTAAGACTCCAGTGCCACAGTGGCTGAACCGGCAGATCCTTTGATTCTCTCCAAAGCAGTACCCTTAATTAGCCAATCCCCGAGGGAGGGGTGAGCAACGGTCTCATTCTGTGTAGGGTCATTGCCATGACTGCTAAATATTTCATGAAGACACCAAGTACTGGTCCAGAAGGTAACACTGAATTAGTAATGCTGTTCCCCTATGGGAAATCTGAGATGGTCTCTTTCTCTTTTCCACATTTCGCTGCCCTCGTCCTCAAGTTCCTTCTCCCTTTACCCACCCTCCTGTCTTCCTCCCAGAATTCCTTCCTCTCCCTCTCTTCAAACTCAAGTGCCCCACCCAACAGATATACAACTAAGTTTTGGCAACAAATCGGAAACAAAAGAGTTCCACAGCTTTTTCTCTGACATGTCTTGTGCCTGGCATCCTCCTGAGGGCTCTACCTTGTACCTACTTCTGTCTTTTTCTATTGTAAGTTCTTTGGAGCAGGGGCTCTCTCTATATGTTTATACAGGTCCTCGCACAGTAGATCTTGATTTAGGCCCATTGGGCACAATCCCAATACAAATAATTGATTATAAGAACAACACTGCATAACCCCGTGTGTGCGTGTGTCAGTCAGGCCTGGAATGCATAGCCGGTCAGCTTCCTCCAGAAGAGGTAAAATTTCTCCCTGGGAAATCGTTTTAATAATACCGAGCTCCGACATAGCACTTTTCACCAGTAGATCTCAAAATGCTCTACAAAGGAGGTCAGTATTATTCTTCCCAGTTTACAGATGGGCAAACTGAGACATGGAGCGAGGCGGTGACTCTCACTGGTTCACCTAGCAGGGCAGTGGCAGAGCCAGGAATAGTACCGAGGTTTCCTGAGTCCCACTGCATGTAGTAGCATGTTCCAGTGAGTATCTGCTGGAACATGCTACTACATGCAAGGCACAGCCTCTGGTAAATTACGTACTCCTTCCCGTCATGAGAGCCAGTAAGAAGGAAAATACAAATATATTACTATCCATTTGGTATTGCGCCAGATTCTTTCCCACACTATGGGACCATAAAGGCGTCAGATCTGGCCTTCTGGACATTCCCTAAGTATAGTGCAGAGAGAGCTGGTTTTTGTGCCCCAGTAAAGGGGGCATATTAAGGATGTACCCAAGAGGACGGGGTGTGGGGTGCTGCTGTACGTCAGTGATGTCCCAGCTGGAGACTGAGTGAGCCTAGAACCTATCCTGGCCCTCAGGAGCTGCAAGCAGTTTGCTGGGTGCTGCTGAGAATCTGGGCCATTGTATTTCTGTTGCAGTATTTTAGACTCATTTTTCTAATTTAAAGAGTTTTTAAAGTGAGAAATTTTAAAGTAAAACAATGAGGGCTGTTGGTTTATTTTAAATTCTTTCCGCTGTGTCCTGCTTATTTCCTAGGCAGTGGTTACCTTGGAAACAGCTGTAGGTTGGGATTGTCTGTCTTGGCTTTGATGGGCAGACTCTTTGGTG